GTGAGCACAACACTTTGTGTAACGTGCAAAAGGCAGCTTGGAAAAGAAAAAAGAGAATTCTTGTGTTTCTTTGGGTGGGGAGTGGTTGCAGACTGGGTATCAGGTTTAGTGAGGATGGGCACAGAGGGCAGCAGGTTCCTGCTCTGCCTTGCCCAGCAGCCCCAGAGCTGCCTTGTGCCTCCTGCTCCCATCCCAGCACTGCAGTGTCACAGGCTGGGGAACTGCTGTGGCACCTGGGCACTCCCCACTTCCTGCGGGACTTGGGCACTCTGCCTGCTCTGAAAAGCTCACCGAGAAAAAAAATAAAACAAACTGGAAAAAAAAAAAAAAAAAAGGCAGAATGTGTGGGCTTAAAACTTGGAAAATCCCCAGGTTCACTATCCAGGTTGTCTCCCTGAAAAAAACAGTGAGAATAAATAAATAAATGGAAGTGAGCTCATTTTCAGTTCCCAAGGTCAGCTCAGCTGGGCTCATCACACCTCTGATGGCTTTGTTGCTCATGAAGGAGCTTGTAGGAATAAGAAATTGTAATTTTATAAAAATAGAAATATATATATTTACAGATTAATTAATAGCTTATCTAAATAATTCACTGACCTCTATTACATTATAAGCATTGGTAAAATGCTTGTCTTCTCTTTCATTGTTTGCTGAAACTTAGAAGTGGAATTTTTCTTTTTACAAAAGAATGCCCTCTAGAAATCAGTGGGACTGGAGATGGGTTTGTGCATCTGAGCACCTTGGGGCTCTCTGTGGGACAGCCCGTGGCAGAGGAAGGGGGGGTGTTTCTTTTTCTGTTCTGAGTGGTGCTGAAGTCACTAAACCAAGCACCATGGAAATAATTTCTGACTTGAATCCACAAAAGCAAGAAATTCAGAATGCAGGGGAGGAGCTGGAGAAGCACCAGGGATGGGATCAGTTCAGACCCCTCTTATTTGAATATCTTGCCTCTGTGGGTTTGTAATACCCCCAATTATTGCTTTAAAATTATTTTTGCAGGTAATTTTACAATAGAGATGTGCAGTTTATTTTTATTTTGTTGACTTTTTTATGTGAAGAAAAAAATTCTATTAAAACTTACACGTGATCAACCATCGTATTTCTGGCAACACCACAAGACAGAATTAAATATAAGTTTAACAAATAGATCAAATTATCTGTATGACAAGAAATGGTTTGCATCCTGTATGCTGTTCAGCCCAAATATTTTTTTTTTTTGTCTGTTATTCTTAATGTTTAATAAACTTTTAAATTTTTCTTCTCTCACTGTGTGCTTGTCTTGCTGTATCAGGGCGTGGGGCTTTTGGGAGGGAATTTATCTCCCCCATCCTCTGGTCTGTCCCACCAGGGGATGGATCCCAGTTAATCTGAGGGGGGCAAATATCCCCCAACACTCCCAGCTGCCACCAGGGTTGGGTATAACCACAGCAAATGTGTATTTACATGAGATGAAACAATTCAAATTATACTGCAATTAGTGGTATTTACTATTTTAACAAAAATATGGGTTTGCTGTTTCTTTTTAACTCCTTCTACCCAAGTCCTAATTTTCATGAAACCTGTGAGAACTTAAGAATCTTTGAGGTGCTTGAAATCCTTTGTCACCCTTGCCCAGCTGCTTAAAAGAAATTAATCCAGAGCCAAATAAAGACACAGCCGCACCCATGGCAAGTCTGGATGGCAAAAAACAAATCCTTGATACTGCATTTAAGAGGAATAAATAGGATTTTTAAAAAATATGTAATACTAAAATTTTTTTTTTTAAATAAGTAATGACTCCCCAAATGCAAATGTGGTGGGAAGTGGGAGAGATCCATGGTGGGAATGCCAGAGCCCCTCTGAGCCAACACAAGAGGTCACACAAGAGCCGTGAGCGGCTCCGAGCGCCGGGATCTGCTCCAGAACCCGCCAGCTTTTTTCTTTAATATCTCCTTATCCTGCCCCGGGTGTTCCTCCCTCTGCTCAGTGGGAGCCTGGGAGGGTCTGTCACCGCCAGAACCGCCCGTGGGACATCGCGGCCTGAGGTGCTCCAGCCGCTCCGGAGGCCTCAAACACACTCAGGGTTAAAAGGATGATGATGCTCAATCATTTTGCACATTTGCAGACTCAGTTTTAATGGAAATGTGAAAATCACCCCCAGCTGCAGACAGCAGCCAGGTTTCACCTGGGATGGGTGACACCGGTCAGAGGTAATTTATTGCAGCCAGGATTTTGGCCCAGCAGCCTCATCCCTCTGACCTGTGTCTTGTTCCCTCTTCTCCCTCTCCACTTCTGCAGCCTCCAGACAGAAGCATCACCCCTGGGAAAGGACATGCAGTGACAAGCTTAAAGTACAGCAAAGAAAACAATGCTTGGGCAGCTGGAAAAAAACCCCAAAAATCAAGAGGGCAGCGGGTGAAACATTGAAGTAAAGTGCCTGGGAGGATTGTGAAATCCCCATTATTAGAGGCTTTCTAGAACAAGCCTGTCAGGAGTGACAGGCGGAGTCCATCCGGCCTGCAGGCAGAGGAGGGGCTAAAAACATCTCACAGTCCCTTCGATCTTTATTTTCAGTGGTTTAGGAGAAGGCAGATTAAGCTGCTCAGCACGACCATCAACTTCAAGACAAAAGCCATTTCCATTCAAACATATTCATATATTAAGACACATATTTAAAAAAAAAAATAAAATCTATATTCCCCTCCTGGACCAGTCCTGAGCTTCCCACGTCCATGGGTTTTGATTAGAGAAGACAGCTGAGTTCCCACAGCAACAATGTTCAATCCTCAGGCAGCTTGTTGAATCCAAAAAGTGCCACAGGCTCCCCATGTTCAGTAGGTGTTGTGGGTTGGGTTTCAGTGTTTCAACATCCAGAATAACTACTGCTCTCCATCCAAACATCCCATGGGCTGCTCTGAGTGCCCTGCTGGGGAATGGCTCAGCTGCTGGCTGTGTCACAGAGCCACATCCCACATCTGGTCACACCTGCGGGCCTCTCCTGAGGCCACCACCACCCACCGGTGAGGAGGTGCCTGCTGGAGCTACAGCCACTCCTTCAGTCAGGCTCTACCAACAGCTTTTCACCTCTGAAAATTTAAGGGAGATTTGCAAAGGTATCTAGAGGATTTGGACACCCAAATTCATGCCAGCAGGGCTGGGGCTGCTGAGCAACAGAGACATCTGAACAGATCCCTCTGAGAGCACATGAGCTTCATCAGCCAGTGATGTGATTTATGTTCTCTGCCAGCCTTTTGCAACAGGATTTTGGTTCCCCAGCCTATCCTTAGGAGCGAGCACCCTGGTTCTGCAAAGAAAACAAGCACTGCCACCCTGACTGCTCGCCACAGACGGGAGGAGGATGCCCGGAGTGGAAACAACCCAGTGACAGACACCCAGCTCAGTGCCAAAACACCACCCACCAAACACTACCCAAACAGGAACCTAAAAACTCAGAGCCCTGCTTTCCCTGGGGCTTTACCTGTGAGTGGAACTTGTCTTGTGCTCAGCTGGCACCTGGGACAGGTGCTCTGTGCTGGATTCCCCAGGCAGGCTGAGCCATGAAAAATTAACTTCAAATTAAAACAAACATATTCAAGCAATAGTTTTACTTTTGACTGCAGCCTGGGGGTGTTTAGGCCCAGGGACAGTGTCACCACACCACTGCTGCTGGTGCCACTTGGGCAGTGCTGGGAATGCAGAGGAAAAGGTGTCACCACTAGAGATCTCAGGTTTCTTATGTCCATTCCCTTCCCTGTGACAGTGGTTGGGGAATTCATTCAGTCAAATGATGACTGGAACACTCCCAAGCAGCAGGATGGAGCACAGAGAAAGGGAAGGCACAAAGCTCCCACACAGCTCTGCTGTGCCATCCTGACTGATCACCCTTTTTTCAGCTATTTTTAGCTTTAACCTTATGGCACCTATTGATGGGTGAAAGCAATCAGCAGCAGAGCCCAACATCCTGTGCTCTTTAAAAATAGCAAAGCATGGAGAAAAGATTTAGTCAAGCACATGATGTGACCATGACAGCCTTGGCCTTCAGGGACATCTCGTGGCTAAACACACCAGACCCAAGAAAAGAATTGTGTAGAGGCTCTGAGCAGGAGGGACATTTAAACAAGAAAAAAAACTACGAAAAATTGTAGTATCTTCTCTTTAACTTGCTCATTCCAGCCCCAGCAATGTACATTTTATTGAATATCCTGAGTTGGAAGGGACCCTCAAGTCTCCGGGAAAGGACCAATACAATTCAAACAAGCACTCAAAGATAAATCCTTAAATGAAGCCCTTCATTTAGCAGAATTATTTTTTGATGCACAGGATATTGTGTTATAAAAACATGACCTAAGAATATATCCAGTATTCAAAGTACCTGCTGCATCCCAGACCTTTTCTGGAAAGGTCCATCTGAAATGTTTGCTGTCTGCTTTATTTAGATTCAGGCTACTTGTTGCACTTCTAAAACCTAGAGGCACAGAAAATACAGAAGCAAGTGCTTTTAAAAACATTTGCCTTGGGAAGACAAATCCCATTTCTGTACTGCAGCAAGCATTACTGGAAAAAGCACTATCCTTACTCCTGAGAGGAATCAGCCTCAAGAGCTGCAATTAGATGGAGTGGAAAAAGAAAAGACTAATTGATATGCTTGCTTCCCAGACAGAAACACATTTTTAGTTCAGCTTGTCTATACTTTATGCACCAGGGATAGGAGCAAAATTATGTATTTCAATGTTCTAAGCTGAAAAAAAATCACAATATATTCTTAAACCCCAGAACAGCAAAAGGGAAAAAGAAGTTCTAGCTATTGACCAAAATTTAGACAGAAATATATTTTTTCCATACTAAAAATTTAATAATTTGGATTACAGTCTTTCTTACTGCTTTTAAAGCATTGGCTGAGCAGACATGAGGGTACTAAGCTTCAACTCAGGATCCTTTTTGTCAGGAGTGAGCACAGGGTCAGTCCCTGACTGCCCTGCCCAAATGATGGGGGAAAAAAACAACCACCAAGAAACCAAGAGTTTCCAAATTGCACCAAATGTTTATTGTAAGTCTAGTACATTCAATATCATATTGACTAGAATACAGGAATTCAAAATATTTTTGGCGAATTGAAATTTTTTAAAAACCATTTCAAACACTCCAAAAAGCAAATGCCATGAAAAATTAACTTAAAATTAAAACAAACATATTCAAGCAATAGTTTAATTTTTGACTACAGAAAACCTTTACATGTATTCTAGTGGTTTTAGCAGTACTGCATTTCAACAAAATATGTGGACTCACAAAAAGTGGAAAATATTAAAACAGACAATGTTAAAAAACTGAGGCATCCAGATCTGCAAGACTGTTGTAGCAGAATCACCTGCCCAGCTGTTCCCTTTGCTCTCTTTTGGGGCAGTTTGAGTTTGCTGTGGTGCTGCCACTGCGCTGATCACCTGCTACCACCACACAGCAATTCTTCAATGTCATGGATTTAAAGTTTGTCCCTCTGGTAAATTCCCTATACAAATGTAAATATTCTAAAACTTGTGGCCCTCTGGCAAATCTGAGTGGAACAGGACCTTTGAAACATCCCTATCTTGCTATTTATTGTTTGCAGACAGGCAATATCCAGAACAAAATCTGAAAGGCAACACATTTTGGTTTTGTTTTTAAATACTGACATGTAAAACTGAGTAAATTAGAAAAAGGATAAAGTCAATCTTAATATAAGACATTCATTACATAGTGGGACAGGATACAATTATTGGACAAACAGGATTAAATGACTCTTCCACACGGGTCATTTGAGCACATGTCCTACAGTCACATTTGCTACCACAGCTGGATTTCCCTTGCAGACAGACAGTAACAGACCAGTGGGGCTCTGTGTGACGTCCCAGGGAGACAAGGGACACCCTGCCAAGCTCTGCTCCCTGCCAGGCTGTGCTTGTGTGTGCACAAGGGCTGGGGAATGATGGCCCTGGCTGGGATGGGGATATCCCCACGCCAGCCCCAGCCTGGGCAGCAGGGCACAGCTGGGAACCTGGAGGAGAAAATCACCTCAGCTATTCCTTCCACAGCTCTTCATCACAAATAAAGCCAGCTTAAGGTCTGGTTCAGTGGTACGGAAAATGAGCAGAATGCTGCCATGTTAGAACTCAGCAGAATCACATTTAGCTTGTAAAAGTGGTTATAACAATTACAGCTGCAACACAAACTTCGGAAGAGGTACAATGTTTGCTCCTCAGAACAGGGTGTGGAATGTTAACCATTTCTTGCAAGAGTTTGCAACATGAATAACTGCATAGATGACAGTTGTGTGTCTTCAATTCAATAAATGTACTTTCAAATTTTACAAAAAACACAGAAAAGTTTCTATAAAAGTCACATTTTACCAAGATAATGGGTGGTAAAAGTAGATTAGCTGTCTCTGATTCATGTTTAAGAAATGACTCGTGGAAAGGTGATAGAAATCAATTTCATGTCAAGAGCATTACGTTTTCACTATTGCACTGACTTCACCATTTGAATCACTAATTTAGAAAAATTCACATAGTTAAAAATTGTAAAATTAAACTAGCATACAAAATTTGTTTGTAAACATCAGGTAGCCAGTTCTGCTAACGTGGAATGGACTCTTGGTTACTGCAGTACAGTATCTTGGTTATTTACAGCACTTGCCATGTGATGGGAAATGGCAGGACACAAACATCAGTTCACAGTAATTGTGTTCACAGAACTACCAAAGTCAGTGCAGTTTTGCTGTGCAATTTTTCCAATTCCCCCAAATTCTTTAAGTCAAATAATACTGTTACAGAGGCCAAGTGCAGATTATTGTTTTGTATAATCTCACAAGTGACGAATGATGTCTGCAGGACTTCTGTAAAGGTACTTCCAAATGGCATAGTAATGGACAGCAGCTGCTGTGGCCACGAAGAGGTGCCAGATGGCGTGGGCAAAGGGGATCACTCCATCACTCTTGAAGAACACCACGCCCAGGCAATAGATCACACCTCCCCAGGCCACCTCCTGCAGTCCCTCGGTGTTGCTCTGCAGGGAACAAGGACAGGTCAGGGGCATTTATGTGTATTTATGGACAAACTACAAAGTGCTTTCTTCCCCCAGGGAAAGGGAGCTGGCTGTGACAGCTCAGAAAATGTTGGGTGGGACAGATGGACAAGTGAGAAATGCAATGTATTTATATTACACTTTGTGAAATGCACAATAATGTCTTTATATACTATGTCCCCATAGCACTGGAGAAATTATACTGGGACAACTCAAGAACTAAAACAAGATTGATGGTTTGCTTCATCAGCAGAGCAGACAATCATGGAGATAAAGAAAACCACATTATTCTGTGGAAGTGTGAGTTTAGTGCAGCTCCTCCCAGCAAGACTTTGATACAGCCAGTTAAGGCATTAACTTGAAAATATGTCAGGTTTCTATCAGCTGCAGAGAGGGTTACTCCACATTATCTAAAATGTGCAACTATAAATAAGTTTGGAGTAGGATCCTTTTCAGATGCACCAAGAAACCCAGGCTCTCTTTATCTACACAGTGCAGCCCAGACTGAACAAAACAAGGTAGTATTTCACTGAAATGTGAACTATAAATCCAAACCATAAGTGCTTGTATTTGGTTGCTCTGCAAAGAGCATTTACAAATACAGTGTACTAAAATGAACATCTCTGCAGAGGAAAAAGCTGCACTGGAATTTAAGCTGGTTATAAAAGGCAAGTTTTGTTTGTTTGCACTGTTAATAGTCACATTCCTTACCATGGATGTCACTACCAGAGCAGGAGAAAATCCCATCGCTAAATAGAAAAAGAGTTCAACGATCTTATACCTAAAAAGGAACAATTTGAGTCGTTTAAGGAGGTGTACAAAAGGATGAGCATTTCCTTCAATAGCAAAAAAGAGTATTTTAAATTATGTGTTGGTATGGGGTCATTATTCAAAAAGCTTTTCATGCAGATAGATAACCAGTGTTTTATGACAAAATTAAAACTACTGTATATCTCTGCATTGTAGAGTTGCAGGCAATACCTTCTCTAAATACTGCCTAGACACCTTCACTTGCAGTAAGTACCAGTGAGAATAAAACACTGAGACAACTTAAATGTTCTTATTTGATGAGAACCTTGGTATTATCAAAATAAAAAAAAAAAAAACAACCCAACCAAAAAGTTTGGTCTTGTTCTCTGAGGATAATTTTTAGTTTAAAGTTAAATGCAAAGAATAGTTCTTACTTTTCATGGTAGAGAAATACATAAAGGGTTCCTCCAGCAGCCATCAGCCAGATAAACCATCTCATGTGAGATGCCAGAGGTCCCAGCTCACGGAGATTTAACCTGGAGGCATAAAGGTTCCAAGAGAAAAAAGTGATGAATAAACAGACCACACTGAAACAAGAACAGCAGGGATTAATAAAAACATATAAATACTCAGAGCTTTAGCTACAGAATGATGGGGGAACAAACACTGGGACATTCTATCCACAGAGAGGCTGAAGGTGTTTGCATTGATGGTGGAAAGCATGAACTGAGGTATGTGGAATATACAGAAACTACCTGCTGCTGTTTTCTAGCATCACTCTCTGTTCAGCAAAGCACAGGAGATGACATTACAATGTCTGTCACAACACAGTGTGGTCAATTGCATCTAAGAAACCATCTCAAGATTTTGGAAGCTGCAATGACAAACTGTTTATTTTGGAAAAGCTTTGATTCTGCAGCTGTGTCCCCATTTCTTACCACGGTGCGTAGGATGCCGCAATGAAGACATAGATCATCATTCTGTCACACATGTGAAAGCAATGCTCCATTGTCCTAGGGACAGAGACACAGAACAGGTACCATGATGCATTTTGGGAAGATTTTTGCATCATCTCGCTTTCCTGACATGCTTTGGAATTACTCTGGGGAAAATACCATCACCTCCATCCCTCTTACAACTGTGTGGAGGAACTGAGACACATAAGAGCTGAGCACTTCTCCAGCTCTCTCCCCTTCTCCACCCCACCCTGTCACATCAACTCTGCCTGATCCAGACACTCTTACTATTCAGTGACTACTGGCTATGTCCAATATATGGCCCAGAATTATTTAGGGGGTCTTACAAGGGATAAGTAAAATAAAATAAAAATAATAAATCCCATGTCAGTTTTGCTATTGCTGCCTTGGTCCCAAGGAAGTTTCCTGCTGGTTAGCTGGGCATGGACAAAAGCTGTGTTCCTCAAGGCACCTGAGCATGCCATAGTGCCAGACAGTGTCTTCATGTCTGCAATGGGATATTTTCCATCAGCCACTCACATTATGCTTTTTCCATTCTGTTTCTGGATTAAGAGCCCCTAGAGCCGACCAAAACACATTTTCTTTGTGACAAGGCAGCAGCCATTCACATTCACTGGTACATGAGCTTGGCTCACTATTTCTTCCAAAAAAATCAACGGTGTTTTTATCATGATTCAGTAGAAAGTACCACTCCAACCTCCTGTAAAATTGGTTTTGACTGCGAAACACAATGGGGAAACATCAGGAGGAAGTGAAACATTTTCTCCTGCTACCTGAGGTGACTCTTTTTCCAGGAAACGATGTGGAAGACGGTGGAGACGATGAAGAGGGCGCAGAGCCCCACCCCGTACATCCATGCTGTGATCTTCTCCCAGCGGTCGTCCGAGAGCCGATGCAGGAGGGCACTGCCCACGATGGCAGGAACAATCAGGAACTGCCAGAACAAAAGGCCACTGTCAGGCAGTGCCCTGGTGCCAGCCACAGAGCAGCACCAGCACGCAGAGCCCAGCCCCAGACAGAGAGTTTTCTCATTTACTTAAGCTGACACATCAGTACCAGAAATTCATCCATGTCTCAGGCATAGCTTAGATCTGGTTTTGCTAAATTTCTCCCCACATAGTGCCAGGGAAGGTTACCAACTCCTCTAGCCATGACAGCAAATTCTTTTGTCTAATTTTATAGGTATTATCAGTGGTTTTATTTTCACATTCTGCCTTATGTTTTAAAACCATGTTAATCTTAGGCTAAGCTTGACTTTAAGCCACCTCTTGTGCATAGACACAGAGCACAAGACAGACCAAAATAAACTTGAATCCCTAATGAAAAAACAAAGCATTTAGCAAAGTGCAGTTGCGAGAATTAGGCAACTGTGGGAATCCAGGGCTTCCCTCCGGCTGCCCTGGCAGGTCTGGGACCCTGGCAGGGGTCAGGAACCCCCTGGACAGAGCCCCCAGAGACACTGGCTGTGATCTCTGTCCATGGAAAAGAGTTTTCAATCTTACAGGATGAATTACAAGCTCTGAGTGTTTGATATGAGTTAAGTGTGGCACGGGTGCAAAAGTAAAATTTTTGGATTCTAGATTAGGGGTTCAAAGGGGACAAGATGGAGGAAATTGGGTGTGTCTTGTCCTTTTTCTCCTTCTTCATGCCCTCCATGTTTCACAGTGGTGTTGGCATTTTTCTGTTGGTTCAGGCTGGGGACACACTGTCCAACGTAGGTGACAGATATTGGCACGTTATTGTAAATCCAGCACAGGTAGTTTGTGGTATTTAATGTTTGTACCATCCCACTGAGGGCAGAGCCCCACACGCTGCCCTGCAGGACAGAGCTGCGGCAGGGCAGCAGAACATGTTAGAGATAAACAGAATAAACAACCTTGAAACAGCACAGACCAATTATGGCTTCTGCTTTGGCAGTGGGGCAGAAAGACAGAGACTTTCTACAATCTCAGAATCATCAATACCTCAGATTCCAACAGGCAACAGTTTTGCAGACCTTGGGTTTAAGCTACCACAAATAAATTAGCTGCAAACTTCTCTCATGAATAGATTTTTAATGCACAAAGATGTTCTTCTAATGCAGCATATCCAACTCTGTTTTCCTTCCCACCTCCCTCTCAAGCATTTCTAATTCACTTCTTCCAAAACAGGCCCTGTTCAAACATCATGATAAAATTACCACGCTTGCATGAAGCATCCAAGAAGTGACTGCAGGCTTTAAATGCATACGTTTAAAACTACACTCCCTTCCAGAATAAAATACGTGATGTACCTCTATCTCCTTCAGGAAAAGGCAAAAAAAAAGAGGAGGAAGAAGAAAAAAAAAACAAACTAAAAAACACCCTATGTCCAACAAGTCTTTAAAGAAGAGAGCTCACTGACTCAGATATTTCTACCCATCTCCTTCCACTATCAAGCCAGCCTTCTAAGTTACAAACACTGCACACATTCCCTTCCAGGCCCTACAGCATGTCTAAGGTGCTAATTTGTTCCCCTGAATTGCAAACGAGTTTCTCAGGGTTAAATTCTTGGTAATTTAACCCAAGTCTCATATGTTAAACAATAAAGCCAGGAACAAACCATGTTTAAACAAATCTGGCCACTTTGCATTACAGGTTGGATAGCTCAGACTGCAGAGTTCTAGTCTAGCCTGACCTATCTGTCCTTTATCTAATTAAAGACCAGAGGAAATGAAGGTTCTGCTCAGTGCAGAGCAAACTGAATGGATCTGAGAATAACAAAAAACAAGTGGCTTTTTCTTCTGACTTTGAAGTACATCAGCTGTAGCTTCATTACTATTCAATTTCCTTATGTTTTGCAAAATGTAGTATATTTGTGCCAAGAGCTGTAGAGCCATGGAAATGAAAAGTATGGCATCGATACACTCACAACATCAGGACTAGAGGTGAAAACACTTCCTGAGCTTTGTAATGGAACTATGGAAGTTGACTTGGTGCACTTTAAGGCCAGAAATAGTCTGCCAGCCTGGCTTCTCATTCATCACCAACCCTAGGTTTCCTGCACACACCCTGGCCAGCCCCCAAATTCAGGGAAGGCTGGAATGTGTCACTCCAGATCAGTCACTCCTGTTTCCCACACATGACACACGGTGTGAATGAAGCGTGGCTGGAGCCCCTGGCACAGCCAGAACTGATGAGATGTGACAGCTGCTTCATTCCGTTTTTGCAGGGGACAGGAGGATACTGAGCCCCAGAAACTGTGGTGTAGCCATGGCTCTAAGCTGTACAGTCCCACTCTATCCACATTCCTCAGTTTCCTTCCCAATTTTTGGTGCAAATTTCAGTTTTGACTAAACTTAACTAGAAGAACTAAAGAAGAACTTGACTAGAGAACTAAAAGTTTTCAGAGAAATTAAATACCTATAAATACCAGGTAAAACAGCAAATTCCTACTGACTCCCTGTAACAGCCTAGGCATGAGCTGCTCAGGGACTCTGACAGAGACCACTTCCCATGAAAAGAGCCTTCTTTGACATTTAGATATTACACAGAATAACCTGCCTTTCTCACACAGAGACCCCAGCTTTTTACTAATCTCCTGAAAGGAATATTTCACAAGCTGAGTTGTGACATGGGATGCTCAAATGGGCCAAAACAAAGTTCAGTGTCAATCACTCTTTCTGTAATTACTGTGTATAAAGTGATACAATTAAAACAAAGAAGCAATTCTCTTGTCACCTCTTTATTTGCACCTTCAGAATCAAGAGTACAGCACATGAATGAAGACTTTAATCCCTTTTTTCCTTGTCCTGCTTTAAAAACAATTCTACCTCTCACAGGGAAGAACACTGTATTCCATGAGAAGGACTGATTTTTTTTGCTAAGTGTTCTTTTATGAACCCTTTTCCTCTGTGCTTGATAGGCACCACGGGAACAGCCGCAAACAAGAGATGTTTTATTACTTTTTTTTTTTTTTTTTGGCCAAAAATAGCTAGATTAAATACAAAATCCAGAAATGATACCCTGCTGTTCCAGGTGACTTGATGAAGTTGTTCGGATGGCAATGCCATAACAGGTAACATACAGTACACTGGGTTTTAGCCATCTTACAACAGAAATACAAAACTTCAGCTCATAAAAAAGGCAATTTTTCCCAGGTTCATTTGAAAAAATCACTTGCACAAGAATTGCATTTTAATCTCCAGTTTTCAGAATGGAAAAGCCATTAATCTGTCCTTTAAAAGGAGGGGAATTTACCAAAAAAGCAGTCAGAGAATCAGAACTAACAGAATGAGTGGGATTGTGCTGTGTCATTTTACAGCGTGACAAAGCATTTCTTAGTTGCCAATATTCCTGGAAAAAAAAAAACTCCAGCTACAAGTCACAAAATCTTTGCTTATTTCATCATTGAGTGCAAGTCTTCCAAATGAATACCATCAAACCCAGTAAGTTAATGTACTGTGAGCAAACCCAGAACTGTGATGTGCCAATTTACTAATTTTAGCTCCGTGATTAGTCCTGGCTGCATCAGAAATGGGGCTGGAAGGGAGATCTGCAGAACAAGAGAGAAGGCAACAGTTTCCTAAGCTTTCTAGAGAAATGCCAGAACAAAATGAGAGAATGAAGTTAAAAGCTCTTTGCAATAAGGAGGAAGATAAAGGATTAACATATGTTTATTTACATCTACAGAATAGTTTTCAGCACAACCTCTGTGTGGTGTATTTTGGGAAACCAACTACCACAAACCCTGCTGTCACAATAAGTAAAAACCCTTAAGGCACAAGGAAAGAGGCTGACACAATAAGCTGTGAACCTGATCAGGGTCACCTCAGCGAAATTACACTCTCTGGTTACAACTTACAGAAAAATACCCAGTACCTTCCACCTGCCTGGGGTTGCTTAGGATACTGCTCAGCATTTTACCTGTATTCTTTCCATATTTCTCCAGACAATCTCTGCCACAGAGAGCTTTAAAAACCTGCTGGAAGTTTTGCTTTTGTATCTACACATTCCTTGAAAATGAAGTTATTTTCCTTGCACATCATGCAGGCAGCACCAATGCCCTCTGATGCATGAGCCACTGCAGCAGAGCGTGGTGTTACTGCTAAAATCTCACGAGCCTCTCAATGGGAGGGACACACTGAGGACACAAAAATGGCCCATGCACTTCCCTTTTGGAAAGGAAGGCAACAGAAACAGCAATTAAGCTGCCAGTCCTGCCCCCAAAAAACGTGACCCTTGGAGAGAACCCTGAGGGGCTGTGCCCATCTCCAGCTGCCTGCTCCATGAGTGCACTCCTGTTGCCACCTCTCCCAACTTTTCAATGTTCCCCTAATTTTAGGAGACCAGTAACACAGAGTGGGAGGCCCACAAGCAACTTGAGCTGCACAACACACAGAGAGCAGAGAACCTGCTTATACCAGTCAGTGGGAATGGAAGAGTCCTTCTGAAATTTTGATCACCCCTTCTTCCATGCTCAAATGGCCTTCTAAATGCTCCAAGTCTCACTTTTTAAATATTTATACTACTTCTGTTTTTCCATGCACTTCACTAACCCCACCTGGAATACAGGTTATAATTAATTTTAAGAATAGTTACTCCTTTTAAGGCAGTTAGAAAAAACATTTAAAGTAGTATACAGCAAGCCATGTCTAAATGCTGAGGTTTTAACACAACAAGGTCTACCTTTTGTCTGATAAACCTTACACGCACCTGAAAGCTTCACTATGAAAAAGTCATCTCCCCCTTCCCTTTCTCACAACCCCTGCTTTTCTCATGCACTGTTTCCTTCCTGTTCCTTTGAACACAGAGAACAGTTTTTTCTGTTTTCAACTACTTTGCTGCCATTCCTCTTCCAGTGTCTGAAGGCAAGTCAATGCTTCATTTAAAGCTAAAAAAAAAGCAAGACATTTAAAATAGCCTAACAAGCAAGAAATTTGAAGATACCTTACTATGCAACACAAAGCTACCTTTAAAGTATTGTACCAAAAAGTTGTACCTGGGATTCTACTACTCCTTTATCCTTATTTTTCTGTTGCTTGCTTGTTTTTTATTAAGCAGTTGCCATAAACTGATTCCTGTGTATTTTTAAGTGCAAAACCAGATAGGATACCTACTTCTACCTACAGTAGAAGTTGACTGCTTCCTGAATTATGAAAAATATATTGGAGAGCCACTGTTGAATTCTGTTCTAGAGAATCACCAATGTCTAATTGAAAACTTGCACTGTAATCTAGCAGCAAAGACTCAGCCACTTGACTATCTGACATTAAGTAAGTCGGCAACACAAAGGAGATGAAAACATCACCCCTAGCTTTTCTCTGCTTTCCCAGCTTAGACTCCCATTTCAAGACTTTAAATATTGATGAAAAGTTATTGCATATTTAACAGTTCATCGTAGGTTTTAGCAAGTAGTTTGACTGCTTAGAAAGTAATTGCAGCTTCTGCAGCCTACCAGAAAACACTGATCCACCTTGGCTGTCACATTCTGCTAACAGGCAGGAGTAAAACATGCCTGTTTTTCAACTAGGTGAAAGCTGAAATTGCTAAGGAGCACAGCAACATCTGCCAGAAATTTTGAAATCTAACTTTTTGGCCAGAGCAAACAAGATTTGCACAAGGCTTATGAGATAAACTACATATTTGTGCTAACTAACAGAATGTTGCTTCATTCCCTAGGCAAATAAGCATATATTTACATAATGCTGTACATGAGACCTTTGGCTTAAGAACACAGAAGCTTCAGTCAAGTTTATGTCTACGTGCAAAACCAAGGTGATTCTGTTTTTACCACCATCACGGAGCTGTAAGTTGGTTATTTATGAAATACACACAAGGGACCCTTAAGAACAGAGCTCCTTCAAGAACTGAAGAGTCCTGGGCACTGCTTTGAGCTTTCATATCTGCAGCTCACTCAGACACACTGGAGATAAGAGACTGAGGACGAAGTCAAACATACTTCAGATGTTTGGAGTTGAGGGATTGAGGAGACGCACAAGCTGCTTTTATAAAAGGGCAAATGCTATCTTAAAAAGCAAACAAACACATTTTTAAGTCCTTTTCAAAGTGCCAGACAGCAAATTAAACTTCCTAATTACTAAAAGGAAAAAAAGTCAATTGCTTTTGTTCTGTTCTTGTGAATACCATATATTCAAAACTAGAATAAGTCCTTACATTATGAAAATAAGGAAAGAGTTGAAATTTCAGCAGGGCTGTCAGCATTATCAGGGCCTCTTGCAAAACAGCAGGTTTCTTGAAGAGTCAGTGGGTATCAGAATTAAAACATTCCAGCTCTTGCTGTTCATACCTACAGACGGTCTGATGAGACCTTCCCATTTCTCACATGGATAAATCTTTCTTATACTTCCATTTACAGTTTGTCAGGGCAGACCTGGGAAATCCACCTTTCAGGCTAACTAGTAGTGGCCTATATCCCCTTTACTGCAGGTATCCTTTGACTGGAGCAGAGGGAAAATATCAAGTTAAAGACCTGTAACATTGGTGAAAAGGAATCTTAGGAAGTGTCTGGGGCTCCAGAAGATTTGGAATATTACCAAACATCTAATTTTCTGGACTGTTACAGTTAATGCTTATATGCACAAAACCAGAGAGAGGCTGTAGATATGAACACAGTGAGGCAAAGGTAAGCAGCTAGCAATCCAAACACAAAAATGTATTGAAACATCTGGTTAAAGAAAAAATAGGAAAAAAAGGCAGAAGTATACTTACTGCATGTGTGTAACAGTTAGCAGCATGCTCATAGCAAGTGGGCTTGTAGCGGCTGTTGGCTGGAGCTGGGTGGTTCATGAACCTGTTGAATAATTAAGAAGTACTTTCAGGAAAGTTACTAAACATCTCTCTGTGTGTCATGAAGGAAATGAAGGAATACTTCCAACCTGGTTGTGTTAAGAATTATAAGTACAGACATGTTCAAAGTAACCGTGATTTAAATTGCAAATTCTCCCAAGTAAAGTCTCTTACTAGACACACATGTTAAATAAATTCCTGTGACTGCCTGGTACAAGGGATGGTTATCATTAATCAGGAGCTCACACAGAGCAGTCAGACTCCCTGTTTTCTGACAGTTTGGTCAGAGGAAGAATGGAACATTTCCTATTTAAATTACATGGCAAGAACTAAAAGTATTCTTGAAATACAGAGTTCATCATAGCTGTCAGGGGTTATTCTTCTTTCGAGACGTTCTTGGAACTGCAGCAATATTCCAGTTTGGAGCACTTGAACACTGACTTTTTGACTCCTATCACAAGCAGTAATTGTGTCTGGAGAATGAAGTGGCTCATTTTTCCAATTCCATGTCTGTAACCAAGATCCAAACATCTCCCACATGGGGATGATGAAAGGCGACTCTAATGGTCAGTTCTGAAGAGGAAACATTTCAAGAGGTTTGCCATAGACATTCCACCTTTTTCTCAAAGAATTTTCAAACATTCTAACACACAAACAAGCACATCAAATGCAGTCTGTGCAAGCTGAACAGAATATGATGAAACTTGAGAAAGTTTGGGAAGAACTTGCCAATGAAAACGTTTCATTTAAGAGTATTAAAAAACCCAAACACTTGAGCTTTTTCTGTGAAACTCAACAATTTAAATCTGTGTAGGAACACCTGTAAAAGACAGCACACACTTATATGCAACAGTCAAATGAAAGCCATGAACTTCTCCCAGCACTGCTGACTGTCCTACAAAACTGAACATCTTTCACCAATAATTCAATTTACTCCAGGTTTTTCTAAAACTATGCACTGAGGTATCCAAGCAGCCAGGAACAGCTTCACAAGAAATACAGAACATGTCTGTATGCTCAGAACCAAGAGCAGCTTTGTTACATAGATTTATACAAAAAGCTTGTTAGACAAACTTTGGTCCTTCCCCATGTCCCCTGGTTTAAATAAAAATGAGTCCTATTTTTATGACATCTATAAAATATTGGCCAACCTCAAACCAGGGAAAAACAAATGAACAACTAAAAAAATCCAATGCAAATCTCACAGTTGGCATAAGCTGTTCCAGACTTCTGGGATATTTCACTTGGTTTTCTTGAGTGATTTATTAAGTGACTTGTGAACCATTTTTTTCTAAACCAATAGATGAAAATGTAGCAGCATTAGGAAAATAACAGTGTCATGATCCCTTCCCTCAACCGTGGCAATTTCAAGAAACAGTTTCATTGGTACTAATACAGAGGCTAAGAAAAATATGAATTTAATTCAGACAGCACATAACTCCTGCAGGGTTATTTGCTAACAGTCATTTAATATATGATTAAAAATGGCAATTCTTTTGTCAGTGAGAAATGGCACCTTACTCTCCTCTCCAAGAAGACAATGACACTCATCACAAAAGCTCACAGAATATTTGGAAAATCACTTTTTGCCCAGTGCCTGTATGTCTTCAACAGCTGCTGAACACCATCTCAGTATCCTCTAAAGATGGAACATTCAGTTTGCTCAGTTCTGCTTCCAAGTCAGGAAAATGTTTAAAAATAAAAGCATCTGTTGGCTCAGTGAGTGGCCAGGCTTGGACTGTCCTTGTCCAACTCCATAAATTCAAAGTCATGGGAAACTTTTGACTTATCACATCTAGAATATTACTACATTTCTCTGTGATGGTACCTTGGAAGTCCCACAAGAAGTAAAAAATAAAAAGAAAAAAAAAGGCAAAATCACACTTGAAGAACCAAAAGGAATAATCTTATATTGTGTAGTAGCTTTATAATTCCTGTTGTTCCAAATTTCTATATAAGATACTATTATCATATAAAAATCTATAAATAATTGATGTCTCCTAATGGGATCTTCTATTTTCCAACAATAGCCTACTTTTAATTTTTTTTTCCTTTATTTTCAGTAGGAAATACACTGCATCTTTCTAAAGCAAACACATTGGATCTAGGGGTAATGTTAGATTTTAGAATTATGAACAAACACTTTAGAAATTAGGACCTCTTACTGTCACTAAGACATTTATTAGCCACAGAACAGAACACAGAGAGAGTAACAAATCTATCCTTGCTCTGTTACCTACACACAGATCTTGGCTTTTTCCTGTTTTGTTCATGGCAGCACAGGAATGATGCAAATATTCTGCACCAGAACTCCAGCAGAACTCCAGCATTAGCAAAATCTCACCTATCCCCTTCACCTCAGTGTTTATACCAACAATACCAACACCACCTGTGTGTTTGGGCAGGAGGAGAAGTGTTCAGTTTTACCTCTGCCTCGCAGAAATGGGCCTCACGATGTCCCAGCACCAACTTTGCTGCACATTTGACAGACCTGCACCTCTCCCTTCTGCCAGGGAGCCTCCAACAGGCTGCAGACCCTGATGCCAAATGCTGGAAAGCATCTGCTCAGGTCACTCACAGGCAAGTCTTAGTACAGCAAACTTCCAGTTATTCCTCTCTGCCTTTCGATAATTAACTATTTATAAACGTTATCAGAAACAACTTCAGAGGGAGGATCATTAGCGACGTGGCTGGAAGGGCAATAATGCCAGCCAGTGCTTCTCACCAGTTCATTTCATTTTCAGCGTGGCAGTTTAGGCTTAGTGTCTTAAGAAACATATGTGAATTTTGAAAATAGCTGCTCTGTGATATTACTGATGTGCTCATCAAAACCAGGAAAATTATTTTGACAAACACTGTTAAAGTCAGTCATATACTCCTGCAGTTAGAGACACAAATGATATTGCAACACAAAGGCAGAAGAATGTGCTTGCAAACTTACTCACATTCTAGAGGAAAAACAGCTCTGCTCTTTCTGAAAGATAAATAAATAAGCAAACAAACCCCATGCCACCACCAACAATGGATGCTTCTTTTTTCCTGCCTTGTGAATACAGCAACACAGGGACATTGTTCTTCCTCCTATCTACAGGTCACGTTTGCCTCTTCTGGAAAAGTTAATTGTGGGAATTATTATCTCACCTTCCTAGAAGTGGAAGCACAGTAAAGACCATTCATTTACTGCTAAACAAAGGTTCTTTATAACACAACCATTAAGGTTATTACCAAATGCAGGACAGTCTGATAAAGTCTCACTGAACTGGATCACAGTTTACAGGAAATGTCTTTAATTGAAGCCTTTTTGATTCTCTAGCAAATCTCTAATGTATTCTTTAACAGCAAATCTGGTGAAACCAGAATCATTTAATCAAGGATATGCAACACATCATACAAGGATGCACAAATAGGTCTCCATATAAGATACTGACAATCCAAGATAAAATATTAATGCCTTCAATATCAGAATAGGAAATTTCTGAAATTAAGAGACTGAGAACTGCTTGCAGCCAGCCAGGAGAGCAGAATGCTTTAGCACTGAACTGAGCTGAGAGTTCTTTTCACAATTAAATTCTCAATGCTCAGAACCTGCTCAAGGCCAAGGAAGTTCAAGACTCAGGATTTCACAGCAAACATATTTTGATGAACATGCTCCCAATATAAGCAGAAAAAAGGTACTGAGAGAGACGTACAGCAATTTAAAACAAGAAGGAGGAAACTCATACCCCTCCCTTCACACTACTTCACCTTTGATCTTGAAATACTTTAAATTCTAAACATACAAACTGATCCATCCTTTGTGACAGACCCTAATCTCACGCTCCTATTAATTTCCAAGGAACAGATGCTGTTTTCCAGAGATTCCAGAATTAAGAGAAAATAGTGTTTGGGAGACAAAGCAGAAGGGAAGTCCGAGGGTTCTTAATGCTTTGTCTTTGCATGCAAAGCCAGCTTAGAAAAATAAATTACAAAACCCTAAATCCATTGCACATATCTGTATGGCATCTGTCTGGCATCACAACAAGCTTAGACCCCAGACTGCAGAAGGGAAATCAAATCGTATTGACGATTCCCATCTGCTGAATGAATTATTGTTTTAAGCATGAAGCAAAATGTCAGTAAAAACAGCAAGCACTGATAATGGCCTCAAAGATGTGGATTTTTTTAGTCTTTTCAGGAAGTATATTTCCTTTATTCAGCTCAAAAGACCTCATACTTCCTTTTACCAGCTTAAAAACACATTCCCTCTTTTTGTGCCTTTCTTTCTTTGTGCTTTCCAGCAGCAGGAGAAGCCATTTAGACCTAATAAACCACAAATAACAGCATATGAGAAACTGCAACAATGTGGGCGTAACGCCACAAAACCAGCAGTAGCATCCATCAAATGGGGTTAAAAATTGCTTCATTATCTAAATATATGTGTCAGTATCTACGATGTCATCTAGGCTCTTTGTTTTCAAGAGGAAAACAAAAAAAAAAACCAAACAAAAACCAAAAAAAAACCAAAAAAAACCACAAGCAAGTCAAAACAGATCTGATGACCATTCAGATTAGATTTTGAAGTGAAAATAAAGGATTTATTAAAAGCTTGCTTGCTTTCACCAAATTTGGCTTTGACCATATTCATTCAGTTAAAAGTAGATACGTCTTCCTCCACACTAGGCACCTTCCTTCCTGGATTTGACAGTATCTAGCTGTCGTTTGTAACTGTTCACATAATCTTTACTATCACTCAACATAAGAGGTACAGAAAGAATTAAGATCAGTGCAGAAGCAGCTCCCTTATTGGGAAATATCAGTGAAATCCCACGCTGTGTGAAGGTTCATGTACTTACAGCACGATACTAAAAAGGAAACCTGCAATACTCTGAGAATCCACAAACAACTCTGCTATCATACATAGATTGTGTCATGGAAAAAAGCGTCTGTGCATCCCACTGACCTCCCCAGCCTTCTGGCAAGTATGAAAGGCAGCAATTCAAGCAAAGAGTGGGCAGCAATCACAAGTCACTCCAGCTGCTGCAGCACATCTGGCCTCAGGGGCAAGGGACCAGCCAGCCGAGGTGTGGGCTAGCACAGAAACCCATGTTCAAACACATTCATATTTTTCTCTTTCAGTTTTATTTCCCTTTTAATACTTAGGTTTCAGTTTCTTGAGCAAGGTGGTGAAAGGAGAGCAGGGCAGCCCCACGGCAGGTACCTGGTCAGGGAAGCCACTGTGAAACTCGGCCTCAGCCGGGAGATGGGCTGTCCATCAACAGTTACTGGCCTGGCACCTGGACTCTGGGCAATGAAGAACCAAAGCCACAGATATTTATTATTATTATTTATTAATTCTTCCCTGTGAGGGTGCTGAGGCCCTGTCAGAGCAGCTGCAGCTGCCCCATCCCTGGAAGTGTCCAAGGCCAGGCTGGACAGGGCTTGGCGGAACCCGGTCTAGCGCAAGGTATCCCTGCCCGTGCAGAGGGGCGGAATGAGATGAGCTTTAAGGCGCTCCCAACCCGGAGCATTCTGTGATCCGCGATGCTCAGTGCGCCCTCGGAGCAGCAGAACAAGGGGCTCCACGGGGCCACGGGGCCACAGGAGCGGCGGGCGCTGACCCAGCCCGGCCCGGCAGCCACAGGTCGGGCCCGCGGGATGCGCGGCTGGGACTCGGGGCCGGATGCGCGAACCTTCACCCATTTAACAGCGGCGAGGAACACCGAACGCACAAACAAAAGACCCTCCTCACTCCCGCCCACCCGCGGTCCCCGCCCGGCACCGGCGAGAAAACCGCGGCTCCCCCACCCCCCTCCCGCCGCCCGGGGGTCCCATCCCGCGGGGAGCGGCCGGGCACGAACGGGGATCCCATCCCCGCCGCGGGTCGCGGCGAGCTCACCTCCGGAACCGCTCCCGGAGCCGCCGCATGGGTCCGGGGCGGGGGGTCGGGCCGGGGGGCTGCGGGCGGCTCCGGGGGCGGCTCGGGCCGGGCTCCGGGCCCGCATTGGCGAGCGCCGGGCGGGCTGAGCGCGGGGCCGGACGGGCGGCGGCCGCTTTAACCGGCCCCGGCCCCGGCTCCGCGCAGCGCCCGCCCCGGCCCGCCCACCGCGGCCGAGCGCGGGAGGAGCCGGCCCCGAGCGGGCACCGCGGCACCGCCGCTGCGAGCCGGGGCCGGGGCCGGGGAGAGCCGGGGCGGGAGAGGGGAATGGGGCCGGGGAGCACCGGGGCGGGAGGGGAACGGGGCTGGGGAGCGCCGGGGCGGGAGCGGGGAACGGGGCCGGGGAGCACCGGAGCGGGAGCGGGAATGGAGCTGGGAATGGGGCTGGGGGGCAGCGCCCGGGTGGGAGCGGGAACGGGGCCGGGGAGCGCCCGGGTGGGAGCGGGAGCCGCGGCCCGGCTCCCGAGGGTGGCCCGGCCGAGCCGGGTTCCAGCAAGCAGCGGCTGGCAGCGGCCCGGGGCCGGCGGTGCCGGGGCCGGCGGTGCTCGGGGCCGGCGGTGCTCGGGGCCGGCGGTGCTCGGGGCCGGCGGTGCCGGGGCCGGCGGTGCCCGGGCCGGCCGCAGCTCATCCCGCGGCCCCGCAGGGATGGAGCAGCACCGGGGGAGCTGTGGGGGACTGCGGTTTAATCGCCATTGTCTCAGCTCCATCAGGGAGGAGATGGCAACACGCTTCCTCTTCCCAGTCTGGGAGCTGTAGGAGCCTTTCTGCGAGCATTCGGCACAGACTGACCCGGGTGAATTCACCCACCCGGCCATGGGCTCCATCCCGGCCTGGCACGGGAGAGCACAGCAAAACGCCTTGGCTTTGCTGGCACATAAACCTGCACATGGGATCATTTACTCCGCTCCAAATCGAGATTACGGTGGCCAGGCTGCTTGGCGGAGATAAACTGATAAACTGGCTGGTGGGGTTTCCCATCTCTGTGCCCTAATCTTACCTACTCAAACCTATTTTTGCCAAGCAAGGGTTATTTCACTAAGTGAAGGGACCATGTCAAGCATATTCTGTAAGGTGAACGTGGTGTTGCCTTGTGCAGTACAAATCAGGGCATGAATTAGGAGAATATTATTATTATTAGAATTCTATTTATGCTATTCTTCTAATCTAATATCTTGTTTACAGTGGGAGTTTGAACAGTTCCAGCCCTCAACAAAAGCGATTAGTAGAGGCACACCAAGGCAAACCACAGGTTTAGACAAATAAACCATACTCAATGTCAACACCTTTCATGGTAGTTCTGAGGCAGAAAGGATCTGCTGGCAGCTGTGCCATGGTTTGTAAGTCTTTCCAAGCTAAGCATGTCTCCTCTGCCAGGTAACCACCTCCAGCACAGGAAGTGTGAGTGTCACAGCTTGGCTGCATGTCAGGCTCAGTCTGACTGTTGATGGCTCTCCGTCCCCTTCACCAGCTGTTCCCTGGTGCCAGCAGTGAGCAAAGGATGAGGTGGAAACAGTTTTGTGTACTGCTGTGGCAAGACTTGTCCCTCAGTTTCTGTAGTTCCATTACAGAATAAGCTCTTCCAATACAAATTGCAGATTTTGTTCTCCAACAGGGGCTCGTTTCCTGATAGGACAGGTGAGGCTGGGCCAGAAGACTTCTGTAAAGAGCTGCTCAGCTTTTTTGAAAAAGGAGGGCAGAGCTTGATGCTGGAAAGGAGAGCTCCTGAAATGCAGAGCCAAGTTCCCTGAGAAATACTCCCATTCATCTCAGTGAGCTATCACTGTTAATATGTTGGTATAATCAGTCATCCAATTTAGCAGTATCGCTGGTAATAAAGTTTCCTATTGCCTATGTTATCTGTTAATCCAAAAGGAGCAAAGTTTGAGGACACTGCTGAAGAGCCCAGACCTGCACACAGCTGCATTTCAGCAGCTGAAGTGCCAGCAGTATCCCAATATCCTGCCTTCATACTGAGGTAGGGCTTGTGGTGATGCAGCTGCCTTCCTGCTCAGTACCACACACCCATCCTTGCATTCCTCTGCAATTGCCCAGTAATTTGCACTTTCATGTTGTAGAAATGTTCTGGAACGTGTGATTTGTACACCATGACTGGAAGGCTGGCTGCTTTGTGGTTCTGGCAAAAAGCTGGGCTGACTCCTGTAAAATGAGGTACACACAGAGGTGTTATCTTGTCTCCATCTCCTCTCATTCCCTCTGCTCCTCTTTGACTCTTTCTTCTGCCTTCTCCCAAGCCACTGTCATTTTCATTTCCTTCCCTGCTGCCTTGGACATTTGATCCTAGACTCTACTTGCAGATGTGTCACAGAGTTTTTCTCCTCACAGTTTTCAAAGCCTGTTTTTCCACCTTTGTTCTGTGGACACAGATCTCAAACCAGTGTAACTTCCTGTTGCTAGAGCATCAAAGATACACAAATACAAGATACAGTAAAAAAAAAAAAAAAACTGTTCAGACTTGTTTACTTTGAATAAAAATAACATTCATATCATGAAGCTTGACTGAGTGGAACCAGGTTAAGGATGCTCCAACCATCATGACAGTGGTGATGAAACAGAGATTTTTTTACTAGAAGTCAGTGTCTATTAAGGAGAACACTAAATTACTCAGCACAGGTATTGTTAAAGCAGTCCTGACCAATAACATATTTTTAATACCAGTGACTCAGAACTCATCTCTGTAATTGTTTTTGATGATAAAATGATTCAGCATGCCCTAAAAACATGGCAATAAAAGAAACCCCTTATTACAGACCAAGGAACCATTAAGTCTAAATCCTAAAAATTGGCATTCAGCATACAAGATTAAGGAAGCAAAAACCTTGTTAGTTTGGTTACTCTTATTTACAAAATAAGAGAAAACAGAACCTTCAAATACCTTAAGTAGTTTTGATTAAAAACATTCTTAAGACGAGAAATATGTCATTGTGCACTCAGCCAGAAATGCATTTTAATAAATGAGTCAGGGTTACAAGAAGGATGAAAAACTTTTCTTACTGATTGCATCCTTTCTGTGGGGCCCAGTCATGTAGTGTCACTGGAAGGAGGAACATGCTGAAGATGAACAGCCAAGGGCTGATTAATAAGACATTTAACCTATTATTTTTTTCATGGGACGAAGAGCCTGTAGTTCTGTAAGGTATCTGTAAAATGAGTGTCCAAAATGAACCAGGCAATCCCAGTCTGATACCCAACAGACACCAATTTGGTACCTCATAGGTGTTTGCATAGCAAATCTGTTACTAATTACAATTCTTGACACTCAGGAGTACATGGGCTGTGTTGTTTGCCCTTATTAATTTTAGGCCAGATTGTACCCATGTACAATCTCCTGCCCGCCCTTCACAAGCACTCTCTACTTGTCTAGAGGTGGAAGGGTTTGTACTCCTGGACTATTGATGAGCATTAAACTGTCACATAAAGACATAATGAATTCTGAGAGAGACATTAAATATCTGTATAGAATTATGCAAAGAAGGATGCAGAGGTAGGGTCTGTAGTTTTCTCTGCATTGCAAAATTGTCCCAGGTTTTACAAATCCATCAAATGAGTAGGCAGGCTCTGAAAGCTTCCTTTTCCCCACCCAAGATGAAAAATGTAATTGCCACTGGGATGCCAGAGGTGAATGAGATTCTGTCAGGAGGTTATATTGATAAAAGTAAACATCCTGCACAAAAGCTGAGTTTCTTTTGGCCTCTTGATGAGCTCTTATTACAAGCCTGCACAATAGCCAGTCCCCTGATTTGTTAAACAGATAACAGAGAAGCAGTTCCTCAGTTGCCAAAATGGATGTATTAGTGACAAGACACGGCTCATGCTCCCAGCTACTCACTTTTGGCAATGGTGATGGAGCGGCTTCAGAGGCAGGAGAGCAGGACACCATGGCTCAGGAGGCAATTAAATGTGCTGGGGAGGGAGCAGAGCAGCACAGCCCTAGTGAGGCACAGGAAATGGGCTTGGCAGGTAAAACTCCACTCCCACTCTACACTGGGGAGTAAATCAAGCATTTGCGGTAAATAAGGGGGAGAAAAGTACCCTTCTGCTTTATTTTGACTTCATAATAAACAAAATATGAGGATTTAGCCTTCCTGTCTTAGGAGTGTGCATGATAATGGAGGAAGGTGGTGGTTTCATTAAGGTTTGATTTAGAAGCTTTAGTGGTAAAGCTCTTTCCTTTTCTTGAATTTAGAGAAACAGGGTTTGGGCTTTGTTAGCATGTTCAAGGACATGTGGCAGCAGAACTACCCTGTGAAAAGTTTATGCTTTGTGTCCTGCAGACAGCGTGGATGCAGCTTTTTATTTCCCTTGCTACGAGCTGACCCAGATTTCTGCTTTGACAGTCTTTTTGAGCACAGTGAAAGAGAGGCATCGCTTCTGGAAATGCATGTCAATGGTCTTGTGCAATGAACATCTCTCCCTCCCTCAGCCTTCCCCCAGTCTAATTAATAAGGTCAGCCCACTGAAGGCAGGCTTATAAATAGCTTTCCAAACACTAATGGAATTAGTTCTGGCCAGGACAACTTTTCCAGGGTGACACAGGTATCGAAGAAGGGCTTGTTCCTTGGCATAGACAGCCACTTAGAGCAGGAAATGTTGAAATGTAAACATTTCCCAGCTCTTGCTGCCAGTGCTAAAGCTGAAATGGGATTACAGCAGTGCTGCTCACATCGTAGAAAGACTTCCTGCAAGTGAAACAAGGGATTTTAGAGGGATGGGCCTTGTATTATATTACATTAGTCTGGATAGTGAAATGTCAAATTCTGCTGAAGGTTTCTCGTTTGTCACTATTTCTGAGGAAAGTGTATTTTTTATGTCCCACAAACCCACTAGATTTTGTGAGGATAATAAACAGTTACCATGGGGAATAAAATCAAAGTACTTCCAGTCGATAGGAATCTTTACTATGACAGCAATTAATGGGAAAGGAATAGCACAGCTATAAACTCTCAAAAGAGAGTGATGATTGAAAATTGACTATTTAAATCCTCAGTGAATGGAGCCATTGAACCTCTTAAAAAGCAATGCCAAATTATTAACATTTAAAATCTGGCATTAGACTGGAATTTTATAATGAAAATAAAACCTAAATGCATCATAGAAAATGTAAGCTCTGATTGTTTAAAAAACTTGAACCAAAATGTAAAGAGAATGTATCTGATTCAGGAACTTCAAATCAATAAGCATGAAGTTCCTGAAAATATGAGACAAACATGAAATTATAATATGATTATCTATGTAACTAATGAAGTTTAATTACAGTAGAATAATGGAGAAGCATTTATTTCACAGTCTCTTCTATTTGTTCTATCTTCACGGTCTGTTCTTCTCTTTGGCCTGTGTATTGCAATAGTCCTGCCATGTATTGCATTTCCAGTAAACAAAAGGACATTTCAAAGATTTCAAAATGCTTATTGGAAAAAATGGATGAAGGTCAAATTTTGTATTAATTCATCATTTCAATCAAATTCCTTGCTATTGCATGTTTTGAATATAACCTTCTTCTTAAATGAAGGAGCTGACACGAGGGCAGGAGGTACTTCATGTAACTCAGAAAAGATCACTTCTTTAGAGGAGAGAAAAGCAGCACTTTTCAGTTTCTGAAATGGCCTTGGACCAGCTGCACAAATTCTGAGTCATCAGATGAATCAAGTCTGTTAAGGACTGCAGAGAACTTTTGCTTCAAAAAATGCAGAAGCATCCTGCTTTCAGATATTGATTCTGTAGTGCTTCCTTTGGGAAGCTTTAGTCATAAAGGTGCCAGATTTCAAGGCGTTTTTAGAAATAAAAAATGTGAGGGGTTTGGCTTTTAGTAATTGTACCATAAAAAAGATGGTAGCCCATAGCCCTTGGAACATCTATCAGTTTCTCTAGCAGAAATCAGTATGGAATTTTGGCTGACAGGCAAAGAGTGAGTTATTAAAAGTAAAATTCACTCATAAAGAGAGTTTTATATGAAAGGCCAAATCAGGACAACCTGACTCAGGAGCTAAGCAGCTGCCATTGCCTTCAGCTTCAGACTGGACAACATCTGAAAAATCACAGTTCAGTTTCTTAAATCAAAGGGATAAGGGTCATGAGGATCTGTGTTGTAGGAAGTCTACAAGAGAGAATAAAGAATTACTCTACTGTATTATAACAGTTTATCCTCTCAGTGTCATTAGAGCCTAAGAGATGAGGTCTCTCACCCCATCCTCCAGTTGTCTCAATATTGTGGCCTGCAAAGAAAAGCCCTAGCTGTACACCATCCTTTTGGGAAAAAAAAGACCATTTCCCCCTTTTCTCAGATGTAGGATTTTAGCACCCAAAAGTGAAGGCTTTTGAAGATTTTTTTTTTAGCAATGTGTTACCCATGCAGAACTAAATTATTTCTCTTTGGACACAATATTTTAATATATACCCAAATTCTTCTCTTTTCAGAAGTAAATGAAAAAAACTTCACCCTTGTACCAAAGCCAAAATAAAGCAGTTCTATGTTTGAATCCCGGTCCACAGTGGACCATCTTTAACTGATGTTTATAGCATCAACACACAAAATCTTTTCCCCTTCTTTCTTCTCCCCATCACTGGGGTGAAGAAAGGTGAGGAAAATGACCTGGGAATGTGTCTGCCATCCAGTCTTAATGTGCCAGTCACTCTTAATTCCTCTCTGACATCACAATCAATGAAGGGAAATAAGCTGTTACATAACGGGGCTGACACAAAATCCATTTAAGTTAACGGAAAGACGCTCATTGTTTCCTATCAGCCCCGGGTCAGGCCAGAGTGAACAGAGTGGGTGGAATTTAGCCTGTCATTTTTCATCTCAGAGGAAATTATTCCTACATCCCTTTTGGACTGCTTAGAGATTTTAAACATATTTAGCAGAAGAAAACAGATTGATTTCTTGTCAGTTGTTAAATGGTTGAAATTTTACTCTGGTTGGATCGTCTCTCAGTTTAAAATGATACTTAGTTTTCTCAATAGTTAAAAAAAAAAACAAAAAACCAAAAAAACCACAAATATAGAAGGAGAGAAAAATCAAGGTGGGTGTAAGTCAGTGAAACTGAAGAGGTACCTGACTGCGCTGTGCAGGTCATGAAGCATCATCTGCACAGGATCTCAGCCTCGCTGGCTGCACAGGGCCTGTGAACTCACCCTGCCCTTCCTGCCAGCGAGCTGACAGCCTCTCAGTGTTATTTATTTTCGGTTTCCTACATACATTTGGGGAGGGAGAAAACATCTGTATTCCAATGCACAGTGTTGTCTCAGGTCTTCTAGGTTTTGTAAACAGATTTAATAAAATATGAGTCAATTTTTCTCTATTGCTCCAAATGTTTACAAATATCATTCAGAAGCAAAATGAACCTGTTCTTTAATATAGCCCAACAAACATCAGATGCACTGTCCCTACTGTGTCTCCCACTCTGAATAATGCTTGGGAACAGGGAGCAGAGTGCCCGGCAGGGACAAGAGACTCTGAGTGATTGTCTAACTTGCAGTTCCCCTGGTAAGTTTAGAGACTGTTTCTGCCGTGTTTCTGCAGAAATAACTTCTGTTATTTAGGGACAAAAGTCAGAATGTTCTGTTTCTTGGTTATGGTGTGTTACAAAGAGTAAAGGGAGTTTCACCATGTCCCTTCTGAACAGCAGGAAACTCTCGGGATATATCATTTAGTTGCTGATGGCCAAGCCAAGTTGCTGAGAGGTCAGAGGACTTGCAAGAAATAGAGACATCAAGAAGTTTAATTCCAGTGCAAATTTATCTACTCTGCTCCAAACAGTGATTGCAAAATAAGTGTTACTGCTGCTGGCAAGCTTTGTGAGGCCTTACGTCCACCATCCACTTAGTTCTGTCTGTCCTTGAGTTCGAGTTATAAATTGTGTTATCTTTGATGGAAGGGATGAGTTTTCAGACAGACTCTGACCTGACTTCTCTTTCTGCTGTGGTGGATGAAAGTCTACAGCATTCCAGTGATATTACTGAGGGATTGGACTCACACAAATGAGACTCTGACCCCTCACATAATTGCTGGAAGGACTAAAGGGGGAAAAACCTTTGATAGTTGAGAAGTTTTTAGGAGCCATTTGGAAAGCAATTGGGTAAACAACAATACAGAGGGGGCACAGGAGTCCCTCAACTTGTTTTTAAAATCCCCCAGACAGCAGAATCCTGTCCTCCAGATTCCTGGGTCTTGAGGCTCAGTAGCAATATTTATAAGGAGAGGCTGGTTGAAGAAAATCAAGAAATAAACAGACAATGCCCCTAACGAAGAGCTGAAATAGAGATTTTTGTAGGCACAGATTATGTCTTTCCAGAAACTGTTCCTTCCCTGGGGCTGTCACATCTGAGCTGCCTCTGGCTGCCCACAGAGGGGAGTGGGGATGACCCTCGCCAGGGCCTAACCTTGCTCTGCTGCACGCGGCGTCACAGCCTCTTATCTGCTGCTTGTGGGTGCTAAATTGCAAGGCCACGTTTTTGGGAACAGAACCCGAGCCTTGGAGGAAGGCCATGCTTTCCAAGTGTGTTTCCTCAGGCGCTCCCCCAGCGCTGGGGCCGCGGTGCTGGCAGGGGATCAGAGCCCCGGAGTTCCTGCGCTGTGCTCCGGCTGCTCCTCCGGCTGCGGTCACAGCACTCCCCTCCTCTCTGGATGGCTTCAGCAGGGTCAGTTTTATAAACTGCAGGGCAAGGTACAGCCCTGGGGTGAGAGTGGGGCTGGGCAGGGCACAGGGCTGCTCGTGCCCCACACAAACCACCGTGGTGGCATCTGCCCTCGGCCGACCCCGCTGGAGGCTGTGCCCTGTCCTGCTCCCACCGACTGCCCACGGCTCATTTCAAACAGCCTCACATCTGATAGAAACAGGAACGGTGGCTTCTGAACCGCCTCCCATTCTTTGGAACTTTACAGGAGTCTTGTAATAGCATTTTACTTAAATTCTAGAAGAAGACAACCCCAAAACTATTAGCAACCTGGCAGTAGAAAAACCTCTGTGGAGGTTTAGTCAAAATGACAAAAGTCTCTATCCAAAATTTATAAAGGCATTTTCAGTTTTTCAGTGGAAGTCCAAATTCCCATGTTTTGTCAGTAGAGCTGTACTGGGTACATCTGCACTAGCATTGACCATTTAAAAGCCCCTTAGTGCCCTTAGAGACAAAAAGGAGAATCCTTCCTTTCAGGAAAGGTGCCCCTTAGCAGAGCAGAGGAGATACTCCAGAGGAATTAACCTCTTCCCTTTTGTTCTTGAGTTTTGAGGGAGGCAAAGGCTCAATTTTTGGATGGTGACATTAATCCCACACAAACTGAGCAATAGGCTGTGCCCCTGCTTGCAACTCCTGCAACATGGAAGGTTAAAATAAATGGTTGTTAAACTCCAGGCTGGATAGTGCATGACACATTAGTGCTGCTTTTAGTCATCAATATATTCCTATTTAAAGATGACTGAGACTTTTAAGTCTGATGATTATTCATATTAAAAGTGTTTCTTTTCATTTGAGATTTTATGCTGTCATGGAGACATCTCCATAATTAAAAGTGTGCTTGACTCTTTCTGTCTCCAGTTAAATAGACATTAATGGGAACCTACCAAAAACAACTGCCAGAAATATTCCTGCACTTTAATTTAAAAATATTAATATCAAATTACAGTGATGATAAAAGTCCAATATGAGATCACTAAAGGGAATGAAGGCTAAATGGTTGTTCAATTATCCAAAGTAGTTTGTTCAAACTGCTCTTTTTCTCACAGTTTTTCTGTAGTCACAGCAGAGACCTATTCTCCACTGCATGAGGAGGGGTTTAAAATTAAATATTTTTAAGCACAAAACCTCTCCACTTATAAAAGATTAGTACTGAAGTTGCAAAATCAAAGACCTTAATATTAGGGAGCACCAAAATTCAAGCCAAGTCTGTCTTAGCCTGTCTCTGTCAAATATTGCACACTATTTAATGCCATAATGAAACAGTATTTTTCCTGTGGGAAAAAATCGCACAACTGAATGGACTATGTTCACTTTGGGAGTAGCTACTCAATATTTCATTTCTCAATATGTGGCATAAGGTTTAATCCAAGCTGGGAGGGAGAGATCTTACACACTTCAGTCTTGATAATCAGATCTGATCCTTAGTCATTTACAGAGCAGCCCTAATCTAACCTGGGTACTGAATCCACATGCTAAAATTTTCCTGTGATTTTTTTTGTCTTTAGAATTTTCTTTCCCTACAGTAAGAACAAATCACCTGCTGCAGTGCCTGCAGGAGGGAACTGCCTCACTGAGTGAACAACCATGGCTTGATCCTGCTTTCCCAGCGAGCAGATGGATGCTTGGCATTACCTGAGGCATAGATGGTATTGTACCACTGACTGGAGATCCCAAAGGTGCTCTTTGTACACTTCCCATGCCAAAGCTCTTCCCTGTGCAGGAGCATTTCCATCCCTGTGCAGGAGGATTTCCATCCTTGCAGCATTGCTCTGTCATGACTTTGCCTCTGTTCCAGGGCTGAGCTACACCTTACACAACCTGCAGACCAAGCTGGAGGCCCATAACGCAACCAAAATTGGATCAATTCTTTTGTGACAAGTGAGTGGGACCTTAAATGGGTATGTTGTTTGTACTCATCCCTTTGCTGCTAAGGAGCAGAGAACAAATATTTGTACAACTCCCTTCACAAATCCAGTTCACATAAACCCTCTGCCCTCCCTGCAATAAAAAGCTGCCAAAAAAGATTGGCTGTTCATTAAATTTTGCTGCAGGTGATTAATGTGGCTGCCTCCAAAAGCAGTCCTGCCCTCAAGACTGAACATGGCCTGGCAGGAGTGACCCAGCAGTTCTGACTGGCTTGGAGGGCAGATCCTCAGCCTCTCTTGGGAGCTGTGACTCCAGTGCAGCCAGGGCTGCTCTCTGGACATTTATTCCAGCTGATTAGCTGTACAGCTTTACGTCCCAAATCCTGCTTTTTAGCCTCAAATGGGAAAACACAAGCCAAGCAGCTCAGAGTCTCTGCTTTGGTCACAATTTACCCACTGCAGCAAGGGCTTGCTGGAGGAGGGTTGGAGAACATCATGAAGATGTGTCTGCTCCAGCTGGAAATTTCTGCACAGTTCCCAGCTTGGAGGGGAATGGGACAAGGAGGTGGCAAAGCTGCTCGTATTTGTTGTCAAAAATGGGAATGCTAGCAGGGGCCACAGCCTGAGCTAAGCCTGTGGGAATGTGGGCAGCCACTCTGCATGCCTGCCCAGGGAGCTGTGCCAGCTCACCTCCACCCTGACCTCACACAGCCCCTGGTATTCCAGCTCTGAGTCCAGCTCTGAGCAGCAGCTTTGTCCTCAGCGCAGGAGAAGGGTTTGTTTTGATGGCAGAGAAAGGTTTGTTTTGATGGCAGGATGATTAATGTGCCTCAGCTCCATAGCTGTAAAATCCCTGGGGAGACAGGGCATGTCTAATTTGTACTGTGCCACAGCCAGGTGAGCACAGCACCAGGTCCTTACTCGGGCATGACCATGCTCAGGCTCAGTATTTACCTGACTGCAAAAACTACAGCTGCTTTCCTCATTTTATAGTGGCAAAGCTGGTATCCACTAACCATTCCACCCGAAAAAACACCACCCAGCTTCCTAGAGAGGCCACGGGGAGTAACCATCAGCTATAACAAACTTTTTATTATGGGATCAAGGAAATTGCACTTTCCTTACACTGGGACTTCAGGCAGCATTGAAGGACCTAGCATGTCTTCTGCTGTCCTGCAGGTGAGGCAGTGAAGCTCATCTCTTTTTTTTTTTTATTAAAAATGGGCTAAAACCAGTGCAGGAAAAAGCCATCCACAATGAAAGAAGCCCTTGGCTGAGGGCAGGCCCTGCCCTGCAGAGCAGTCCTGGCCTGGGGCAGCATCACTGCAAGTCTCTCATGATCTAAGGCCTGAGGGTATTTTGTATTTGCACATTCATCCTTCACATAACCCTGTCAATGTTTATATATGGCTGCTCCAGATTGTACCCTGATTTCCCAACCAACAATCCCTGTAGTTTCCTCCTCGACTCACCTCAAAGCCAAACTGTTCAGTGCTGGTCCAACACTGCTCAGCACCAGTGTTGGCTAAATGCACTGAAGCAGCAGCAAGGACAGCTCTGGTGACACCCTTCCCATATGCCAGTGTGGTTTATTTTATGTTCGCTATGGTTTATTTTTTTATTTTGTGCTAATAAACTCTGCAAATATAAATATCAAGCCAATCTGGTTTGTATGGGTATTTGCCATTGATAGAATAAATTACCTTCCCTACATATTTTCCATTATATATCTGCTTCCATTTTGTGCTGCACACGGACATGAGAAGGAAACCTTTGCCATCACAGCCCTTTGCAAACACTGTTCTCTTCCAAGCTTTTGGTCTTACTACTAAATAAATATGTATGCAAGATAGCACTGTTGTAATACTAAAAAAAAAAAAAAACCACTATTATTTAAACAGCTTTCAAACCTATACAAATTGTAATTTTTCACAGAGCAAACTTGTTCTAAGGCATGGAGCTGTAGAGGATCTTCCACAGCTCCAGGGCCAGAAACCCAAAATGCACATTAGAGACCAAACCTGTGTTTTTTTCACTGAACCCAAATTAAGTGTCTTCTTACCTCAGGGGAAACAAAACACACCCAAGAGCTGAATTTCCACTGGAGGTACCCAACCCTCTCCTTTGGCTGTGAAAGCAGACTGAATTTCTAATCAGGCACTCAGGCTGGTAAAAGAGGAACAATTCCATAGCCATGAGCTTGGGCTTGAAATCTGATTGACCCCATAACACTGGTTCTGGAAGAAATAATCTCACCCAACAAAAAGGGTAAAATAAGGAAATTTTTCAACACCCTGAAAGGCAACAGATGCCTGGCCAGTTTTGAAGCTTTTTGGTAAAAAAAAAAAAAAATACAGCTGAGTTTCACCAACCACTGACAAATATTTTATTTTCATTTACAAACTTGTGCAGCCTGTGGGTGCATAGTCCCAAACCACTCCTAGAGCAGCGTCACTCTGGCTCTGAGGCAGAAGTCCTGTCCCATCCAGGAGAAGCACTGCAGCTGCTGTGCTCATCAGCCAAATTTCAAACTTGTACTGGGCAAAGTTCAGATCCACATGGCCAAGAAAGGCATCACAGGGTCAAGTAGAGGAGAGCCCCAAACCCAGCATTTCCTGAACTCATTCCATCCTCAGTCATTTCTATTTAGTTCACTTTCTTCCACTTCACTTCTAGGACGGCCCTGTCAGGTTAGACACAGCTCCTGAAGCCTTGCAGAGATGTTTTCATATTGCATCTTATATCATTATATATTCTTATGTATTATATACAGTCTTATATGTATTTATACACACACACACACACACACACAGAGGCTGGTCACCCCTGGTTTGCCAGCTGGACTGGACTGCAGAAGTGACACAGAGAGGAGCAAAACCTGGGGAGATTTACAAATCTGCTCTATACATTGCAAAAAACCTCATGCAAAGTCAACATGGCCTTGCATCATAAAGCCCAGGCTGGAGCCAAGAAACAGCTCAGCTGGAGAAGCCACAGGATGAGGAGAGAACAAGCCTGTTCAGGTAAGAGCTCTGCATCTAAAAACATGCCCTGACATATTCACAAGAGGAGGTGAGATATTTTTGAAGTTGATTTTTCTTTTCTTGCAACTCCCCAATCCTCTGAGCTCATTAAATTGAAGACACTCTAATTTACAGGAGTGGCCAACAGGGAAAGGTCAAGGAAGGACTTCTTTGTAATGTCGATTTTCAAATTCCAGGGAGAAGAACAGGATTTTCATTAAACTACCATCAAATTCTAAATTACTGCACTGTCAAAGGAAAATAGGACTGTCATTATACAAAAGGAAGTGAAAGAAAAAACCTGATGATTTAGGGCTTGTGCACAGGTCTGTCTGAAATGGGGTCTTGGGCTGACAAAAACAAGGGCCGGGTTCCCAGCAGCTGGTCCTGGCTGGGCACAGAGCAGCCAGAGCTGCTGGGTCAGTGGTGTTCCACATCCCCTCTGCACAGCAGGCTCTGTGGGGGCACATACACTGAAGATTCAGAGTTACTCAAAGAATGTTCTACAGTCTTCAAAAGAAACAAAGCAGCAGTTTTTTTGCTGTTGCACCAAACCTCAAATAAAGGAAGCAAGCCCTGGGAACCCAGTGAAATCTGACCTGAACAGGACACTCAGTCTCTTAGGGAGGCACTCTGGTGTAAAATCCAGAGCTGATGCTTGCTGCTTTGTGGTTTGTATCTCCATGGATAGATGCCAGAGGAAGACAAGTCTGATTAGACAAATTACTTTTGTTCAAATTGAAACAAACAGTTGATTTTATTCATCCCATCTTCACTTGAAAAATGCCATCTGTCCACTAAAAGGCATCCTGCCATCCGACTAACCAAAAAACATTGTTTGAGGCCCCCAAAGGGAAACCAAAGGGAGGAGCTGAATCTCCCAGGTGCAGCTCTAATGACACAGTTTGGGGTGGGCAGAGCTGTAGCTGCCTTTTTCCTTCAGGAAAGCTTTGCTCAGATCCGTGGGTTGGATCTGAAGACCAAGACACTGTCTTTTAACAGTTAATTAGCTGCACCAATTAGTGGTCATGTTGTACAAAGAGTGACAAAATGAGTGTGAAAACCAACAGTAAGGGAGCAGCTGGATCTGGAAGCAGAGTGGAACAGCAGAAAGCTGGGGCAGCACATCCAGCAGCCAAACTGTGGCTTGACAGAGGCTCTGAAGCGTGACAGCAAATAGAAATCAGGGTTGTACCCATGCAGATTTGGGCCCCTCTCCTGCATTGCAGTTGCACCCGTGCCACCCCAAGGTATTTCCACTGAAATCCTCTTGAATTACCTCGAGTAACCTCCTGCCTGCAGCAGGGACAGGGAGAACAGGGCACTGCACGTGGGCTTCAAACCTGTCCAGGGTCACATCCCACTCCTGAGCAGCAGAACCTGGCCCCTGCAAATCCAAAAACTGGAGCATGGAAAGACCAGTGGTTTGTGGGGAGACACCAAGTGCATGTCATGTGCTGTACCTATATCCCAGAATGTGTTTTTTGGAAAGCTGATGCTTAGGACAGCAGTTGCATGTCAATGTCAAATAACCTGCCCTGTCCCTTGAGCTTCTGGAGAAAAGAGGTGACCCAAGATGAGGTGAAGAAGGAGAATTGAGCTGGAGTGACTTCTGTATTGAATTTAAGACACTGTAATACAGGGTTAAAGCAGAAGCACCTGCAGTCTTTATGCAAGAACCTGTAATTATGTGCACCAACAGGTCTCAGCATGGAGCTGTGTGCATGCATAATACACTAATATGGAGCTAGCAGCCAGAGAAGCCAATAGGGTTGCTACATTATTGCATTCTATATTATCCTTTATTAGGAGACATGCATTAAGATGCTTTCAGTTTTTAAAATCCAAACATTAAAGCGTTTTCTGACTGCACCACACAGAGGAGCAGCCTGTGCTGTGCCAGCAGCCAGGGCTGCACCTACAAACCCAATTATCTCTCTGCAGCCTTGCCCTGCTCTGGTCATCTGGGGCATTTGCTGTCCCCATCTCCCAGGTTGAAGTCAGGGGAGTTCTTAGCCCAAAGTGCCCCTGTGAACTCAGGGCTGCTCGGCGCCCTCGGTGCCTTCTGGCAGGGTGTGCTGGGGGTTTGAGACGCCGTGATCTGGCCAGCAGAGCTTTATCTGCTAAGACAGAAAAGCTGGTGCCCTGTGGGAGCAGAGCTAATCTGACAGGCTGGCACTTCAATCAAAGGAGAGTGGCAAAATGCTTCTGACCCAAGAGGATGCTCTGGAGCTCTGCACTGACAAGATGCAGGGACAGGAGCTGCCCGTGCTCACAGCACGGTTACACGCTGGTAGCACACATCCGAGGATGGCAGGATGCTCAGGACAGGCATTCCTGCCATCCAGCCAGGTCCTGGTGCTCATCCTGGGGGAACTGGCCTCTGAGGATGGACAGGGAGCTGCTGCGACCCAGCTCCCACTTCCAGCCATCTGCACAGGGTGGGAAGTACCTGGAGATCCAAGGGTATCCTGCTCACACCTGCCTGGAGAGAGCTCATAACAAAAGGCTGGCCCTGCTCCAGTCCAGGTAAGGGCAAGATTTTGCTATGTGTAGAAACAGAGGTATTTCACCCTCATGTGATGAGAGCACAGCCTGGGCTTTAGCCTTTTGCCTTCATCCATTTCATCCAATAAGTATGCCTTGATTTCTTCTGCTCAAAAAAAAAAAAAAAAAAAAAAAAAAAAAAAAAAAATGGAAATGATATGGCTTCTGTAACATCTGTGACTCCAGATGACCCTGAATGCTTCCCAGCAGAGAGGGCACAGAAAAAACATGGTCATCTCCTCCCTAGCAGCTGTTAAACAAAACAGGAAAAGGCAGCCCTACAGCATGACCAAGCTTTGAAGCTCTGCCCTGCAGGCCAGGCTTTGGCCACCTTTGGGGGAGTTTTAACATCATCATTCACCCACCTCCCTGCTGGTGGTGGGACTTTTCTTTGCCTTCTCGCCTCAAACAGACTGCCCTCTCCTCTGGGAGCTCTACCCCGGGTTGGGGCATCCT